TTTTTTCCTTGGGCCCACCACAGCGCTACCCCGCTAGTCGCCCTCTGCAGCCCTCGTGCTGCCCCTACTGCCCGTCGCGACCCGTCGACCCCTAGGCCCATCGCGACCCGTCGCCCGTAGGCCCGTCGCCCCTAGGCCCGTCGCCTCGGCCCGTCGCCTTGGCCCGTCGCCCCTAGGCCCGTCGCCCTAGGCCCGTCGCCCCGGCCCGTCGACCCTCGGCCCGTCGCCCCTAGCCCGTCGCCTAGGCCCGTCGCCCTAGGCCCGTCGCCTCGGCCCGTCGCCCCTAGGCCCATCGCCCTATGCCCTACGCCCTAGGCCCGTCGCCCCTCGGCCCGTCGCCCTAGGCCCGTCGCCCCCGGCCCGTCCCCCCTAGCCCGTCGCCGCTAGGCCCGTCCACCCGTGGCTCGTCGCCCGCTAGCGGCTCGCCCACCGCCCCTACCACCCTCGCGCGGCCCGCGATCGGCCCGCCAGCTGCCTCTGCTGCCCGCGCGCCGCTCGCTATAGGCCCGCCAGCCGCCCCTGCCGCCCGCGAGCCGCCCGCTAGTGGCCCGCCAGCCGCCTCTGCCGCCGACGAGCCGCCCGCTCTCGGCCCGCCAACTGCCCCCGCCGCCCGCGTGCCGCCCGCTATCGGCCCGCCAGCCGCTTCTGCCGCCCGCGCGCCGCCTGCTAACGGCCCGCCAGCTGCCTCTGCCGCCCGCGCGCCGCCCGCTATCGGCCCGCTAGCCGCCTCTGCCCCCCGCACGCCGCCTGCCAACGGCCCGCCAGCCGCCTTTGCCGCCCGAGCACCGCCGGCTATCGGCCAGCCCGCCGCCCCTGCAGCCCACGCGCCGCTCGCTAGCGGCCCGCTAGCCACTCCTGCCGCCTGCACGCCGCTCTCTAACGGCCCGCTAGCCGCCCCTGCCGCACGTGCATCGCCTCTTTCTTCCTGTACGCCGTCCCTTGCAGCTTGTGCACTGCCTTCTTGCAGCCCGCTTGCTCCCCCCCTCTACGCTGCCCAGCTTCTGCCCGCCCTGCGTGCTGCGCCACTATGGCTTCTCTCCGCGTGCTAGCATTCGATCATGAGGGATGCCCCCTGCAGTTTGACACGTGGCTCGACGACCTGCAGCTGTACCTGCTGAGCGACTCTAGGGACAGTGTTTCGTTGTTTGACCACACGTCTGGCGCCGCCACGAAGGCGTGGCAGGGAGGGGTGACCCAGGCGGTGGTGCCACAGAAGAGTCTGGTGCAACAGGAGGCGACACGAGCAAGGGGGTGCTACCTGACCTGACGCGGACACCTGAGCAGACGCAGCTACCTGAGGAGGCTCGGTAGCTAGTGTGTACAAACGCTATGGCACTTCGTCCTTCCTCTGTTCCACTGCGTGTTCCTCTGCCGCCTCCTCCTGAGTCCTCTCTTCTCGAGGTCCCTGACCCTGAGTCTGACCGCGCTCGTGCCGCCAGTCCCACTGTCTCTCGTCTCCTCGCCACTGCTGTCACTGACCCTTCTTTTGAGTCCACTGCTGCGTATGCCCTCGTTGCTGAGCTGCTTGACTTTGCTGCTGCCTGTCGTCTAGACCACGCCACTGCTCTTGTTGCTGAGTCTGAGTCTGCCAGTCCTCGGTCCGTCGGGGGTGAGTGTGCTCTTGGCACGGACGTCCTTGAGGACAGGCAGGAGGACTTTGAGTGTCTTGCATCTGCTGTACCTCGTTTCGCTTCCATGCTGCTTGCCCCTGAGGGAGACCCGGATGCACCAGACATCCCGACCCCGCGCTCTTACGCAGAGGCGATTACGGGTCCTTACTCCTCTCAGTGGCAGGCAGCCATGGATGCCGAGATGGCATCCTGGAAGTCCACAGGCACCTACGTCGACGAGGTTCCCCCACCTGGGGCGAACATAGTCGATGACATGTGGATTTTCAGGGTGAAGCGGCCGCCGGGTTCTCCGCCTGCCTTCAAGGCGCGTTACGTTGCTCGAGGCTTCAGTCAGCGACAGGGGGTTGACTACTTCCAAACCTTCTCCCCCACCCCAAAGATGACTACTCTTCGGGTGTTGCTGCACGTCGCTGCTCAGCGTGACTACGAGTTACACTCTTTGGACTTCAGTACAGCTTCCTTGCAGGGCAGCCTGCACGAGGAGATCTGGCTGCGCCGCCCACCTGGCTTCACTGGGTCGTTTCCTGCAGGTACCCAGTGGAGCCTCCGCCGGCCAGTCTACGGTCTTCGCCAGGCGCCTCGTGAGTGGTACGACACACTGAGGACTACATATGCGGCTCTTGGGTTTGCTCCTTCTACTGCTGACCCGTCGTTGTTTCTACGCACCGACACCTCGCTGCCGCCGTTCTACGTCCTCGTCTACGTCGACGAACTCGTCTTTACCACTGCTGACACTGAGGCACTGAACCTTGTGAAGTCGGAGCTGCAGAAGAGACACACCTGCACTGACCTGGGACAGAGCACGGCGCACCATCAGACTGACTCAGTCACACATGGTGCACCAGGTCCTTCAGCGCTTCGGCTTCCAGTTCTCCTTGCCACAGCCCACTCCTCTGTCTACCGGCCACTCGCTCTCAGCTCCACCTTCGGACGAGTCCGTAGAGCCGAGTGGTCCATACCCAGAGCTTGTGGGTTGCCTCATGTACATGATGACATGCACCCGACCTGACCTCGCGTACTCTCTCAGCCTTCTGGCTCGCTACGTGGCCCCCGGTAGGCACTGAAAGGTGCACTGGGATGCTGCGAAGAGGGTACTGCGTTACTTGTGCAGTACGTCGGGCATGGGGCTCGTGCTTGGAGGACGGGGTCCAGTTGTCCTCACTGGTCACGCAGACGCTTCTTGGGTTGACGGCTTGGCTACGCAGCGGTCGTCACAGGGTTACACCTTCAGCCTCGGTTCCGGCTCTGTTTCCTGGCGGTCTACCCGCTCGTCTTCAGTTCCCAACTCGAGTTGTGAGGCTGAGATCTACGCAGGGGCCATGGCTGCACAGGAGCTACGCTGGCTCACCTACCTGCTGACCGACTTGGGAGAGCAGCCTCGTTCACCTCCAGTTCTGTACGTAGACAACAAGGCCATGAATGCCTTGTGTTAGGAGCACAGACTGGAGCACAGAACGAAACACATCGCTCTGCGATACTTCTTTGCTCGAGAGTTGCAGCAGCGTGGCCAGCTTCGTCTTGCGTACGTGGCCACTAGGGCCAACACTGCTGATATATTCACCAAGGCACTTCCGCCTGGTGATCATCAGCGATTCTCTACTGTGTTAGGCCTTGTGCCTACTTTGCCTCACTTACTCACTGCTTGACTTTGCTTGTACTGTGATCTATATATATACCTGCATGCTTACACTTGCTAGGGTATGATCACTGTATTGTTTGTTCTCTTTTATATGACTCTGCATGTGAACTGGCCTTGTGGCCCTTTGCTTGTGCTCGGACTGTGTGGTGACTTTGTGATCCACCCTGAGCTTGCTTTGCTTTTCTTGACTGGTCTTGTGGCCACTTGTTCTCCCCCACTTTGCCTATGGGGGTGTGTCAGAATGTTGTAGTGCTTACCGTTGTGTAGGCTATAGTGGGGTAGCCCATAAAGGGGTACAGCCCAATTAGGGTTAGTACATGTACCCAAATCTTTCATAGTTCATTCATTCTCGTTCAGTATTCTGACACTACATACATAGATACATACATACATACATACACACATTCATACTTACATATATACATACATACAAACATACATACATACATACATACATACATACATACATACATACATACATACATACATACATACATACATACATACATACATACATACATACATGTTAACGGGAATGGAGTGTTGGCCCCGCCCTCGCTTGGGCAATGCCGAGGACTTAGTCGGATGTACGGGAGTAGCAGCCGACCGTTCATAGTGGGAAAGCTGCTCGACAGGCTTCGTCGAGCTGCAGTCGACCACTGTAGTGTTGCTGTCGACCAGGGAGCTCGACAGCTACAAGTGACTGGTCTGGGCGACGGGTTTGCCGTTGACCAGGAGGAGCAGTTCGACCGGGAGGTCGACGGAGCAGTCCCTCGACCTTACAAGTGAGCAGCGGTCGACGAGAGGAGCTCGGCGACAACAGCTAACAGTCCTGATTGACGAAAGGGGTCCGTCGACCAGGGGGTAGCTCGACGGGAGTTGTGGTCGACCAGGGGCACCTGGTGGTCGTCCAGGTCGACCGGGTAACCTGCTCGGCGAGTTCTGCGGAGGCACGCGAACGTCGTCGAGGTCGCGATGGCGAAGGCGACTTCGGGTTGGTATCCCGAAGTCGATGTGGCTCGTCAAGCGCAGACAACAGCCGACGAATGCACAACGGTGCAAGTCGGGCCAATCGTCTGCGCACACCTACGAGCGAGCGCACTGCTGTCTTCTACGGGGCAACGCTGGACAGCCGCTCTTCTACAGCATTGGCACACCGTCGACCTGCTGTGTTGGCAGGTCGCCTTTCTGCAGTGCTGGCGCAGCTACTCTACGCAATGCTGGCGGGCGGTCGACCAGGCTGTGCTGTCGGTCGACCAGGCTAGCTGCAGAGTTGCTAGGTGCTTGATGTAGTTATTGTTGTCATTGCTTGTTCAACTATTCTGTAATTCCAACTTTGCTAGTGGAAACTCTTGCCGATTTCTCCCGTGATTGTGCAAGCACTAAGGAACTAGGCAAAGCTACGATCACTCATAGTAGTTCGTGCCAACCCTGTAGTCTAGCTCACTACAGTTGTAGAGTGAATCTCCGCAATACATACATACATACATACATACATACATACATACATACATACATACATACATACATACATACATACATACATACATACATACATGCATGCATGCATACACACACGCACGCGCACACACACACACACACACACACACACACACACACACACACACACACACACGCATGAGCACACTTGTATTATTAGTCAACAAACAAACAAAGATATGCCTAATGAATATAAATAGGAGCTAAATACATGCAATTCAACCCTATCCTTATTCCCTATGGTCCCCATTATCCATCAAGAACCTCTCGAGTGCATCAATGGTGTAGGTTTCAGCACCAGGGCTAGGCGATGCTTCATGCTCGAATTCCCCTGTATTCAACTCTCCTGCATCAATCCCATGTTCCCCAACCTCCAAACCTACTCTGTTGACTCCCAACTGCTCCATCAAGGGGACCGCATTAATATGATTCTCGAAGCTGTGATAGGCTGCACCCTGGATGCGAGAAGATGAAGAGGTGAGGCCCCAGGCAGCAACTGCAGAGTGTTCCTTGTCTCTCAGGATCAACAGGTTGGCTGAGGGGTGAGGATGAGAAAGGTGCTCAGCAGTAGGCTGGTCAGTAGCACCAGCATTGTATGCAGGCCTGAAGTCCTCTACTGCAGGTTCCTGCATTTCGACATCTATTCCACTGCTGCCAGGGTTTAGGGTCCCACCACCAGTCCCGTAGCCGTTGATTCCCTTATAGGCATCATGCTCCAAGGCATCAACACCGCACTTCTCTGTGTTGATGAATCCATGCCAGCGGGCCGTACCATCAAAGTTGGTGGTTGGATTGGCGGGGGACGGAGGGACACGGTGCGAGTGGGAGACTGCATCCTCAGCACCAGCTCCGGAAGCAGCGACAGAAGCAGCACCAGCAGCAGCAGCAGCAGCAGCAGCAGCAGCAGCAGCAGCAGCAGCAGCAGCAGCAGCAGCAGCAGCAGCAGCAGTAGCAACGCCAGCAGCAGCGCCAGAAGCAACGTCACCAGCAAAGCCGGGAGTAGAGGTCAGAGCAGAGGAGGTGAGAGCAGCATGTGTCATGGGGGGAGTGGACTGACTGCGGAAGGGCAGGTGACACTGGAGGCGATTGAGCTGCTCTTGGTGCTGATGCAGCAGCTGCAGCTCCTCTTGCTGGTGCACCAACTGCAATTGCTGCTGCTGAATTGAAAACGACAGGCTCTGCTGCTGCTGCTGTGCCATCCATCTATCATCCAACGACGACCTCTGCTGCCCCTCCAGCCGTCCATGCTGCAGCACCCCTTGTCCATACCTCCTGGCGGGTAACCAAGGCTGCTTCTCGATTGTTGACGTACGCAGCATTTGCCTGCTCAGTTGTCCTGCTCCCATTGGTCCCTGGTCATGTGACTGTGATCGCCTCACCCTGTGCAGAGGGATAGATGAAATTGGACTGGGAGAGCAGGCTGGGGAGGATGCCAGCCCAGCAACACCAGAAACACCAGCACCACCAGCAACGACAGCCGCACCGTCCACACCCCCAGCAGGTGCAACAGCAGCAGCGCCACCAGCAACACCGACAGCAGCCTTTCCGGCACAATTCGCGCCATTCCCACTTCCCACGTTGAAACCTGCAGAGGCTACACCACACATAGGACCAACAACACCCATACCGCCAGCAATGCCAGCACCAATCGCACCGCTCCCACCGCTCCCATGTTGCTGCTGCTGCTGCTGCTGCTGCTGCTGCTGCTGCTGCTGCTGCTGCTGCTGCTGCTGCTGCTGCTGCTGCTGCTGCTGCTGCTGCTGCTGCTGCTTCTGCTGCTGCTGCTGCTGCTGCTGCTGCTGCTGCTGCTGCTGCTGCTGCTGCTGCTGCTGCTGCTGCTGCTGCTGCTGCTGCTGCTGCTGCTGCTGCTGCTGCTGCTGCTGCGGCTGCTGCGCCATCTGTGTCTCATCCAGCGTCAACCTCTTCTTCCCCTCAAGTTGTATCTGCTGCATTGCCCCTTGTACGGAGGGCAACCAAGGCTGCTTCCCCAATCGTTTGTGCAGCTCTTGAGCATACTTGCTGGCTGGAAATCTTGGCTGGAAGGTTGACGCACGATGCATTTCCATATCCAGCTGTCCTGATCCCGTTGGCCTCTGCTCATTGGACTGTGACCTTCGCATCCTTTGCAGAGGGATTGCTGTTTTTGGTTGGAGAGAGCGGGCTGGGGAGGATGCAACCCCAGCCGCACCGGGCCCAGCAGCACCACCAGCCACGCCAGCACCACCAGCCACACCAGCAACACCAGCAGAACCAGAAACACCAGCATAACCAGCAACACCAGCCACGCCAGCAACACCAGCAGAAGCAGCAACACCAGCAACAGGAACAACACCAGCATCGCCAGCAAATCCAGGACCACCAGGAATAACGGCAGCAGTATTCACAGTACTATCCGCGCCAGTCCCACTACCCACATTGGCAGCTGCAGCATCTACACCACCACCAGCAACACCAGCGCCAATTTCACCGCTCACAACACCCACACCACCTATGTTGCCCGCACATAGCCGGGAATCAGGAGCTGACGTACTGATAGCAGGTGGTTCCAGTGGGGAAGAGACGCTGTTGCTTCGGAATAAAAGAGGCGCAGGTTCAGAACAAGGCTTGGAATGAATCTGGGGTGGAGGCTCGGACCAAGGAGGGCTGGAAAGCTTGGAAATCGTGTTGTCACTTTCCAGGTATGGGGTGTGGCTTGTAAATATCTGCTGCTCCCTCCACTCTTCCACGGGAAGAGCTTCACAAATGACGCCTGCAGAAGCAAACCGTGCAGGTGCCTTGCCTCTCCTTCCAGCCTTCATGTTGAAAGATCTGCGCCGTTGGAAGCTTGATGCACTGAGCTGCTGCTGCTGCTGCTGTTGGTTCTGCACCTCCTCCTCCTCCTGCTTCTGCAGCTGCTGCTGTTGGTTCTGGTGCTGCTGCTGCTTCTGCTGCTGCTGCTGCTGCTGCTGCTGCTGCTGCTGCTGCTGCTGCTGCTGCTGCTGCTGCTGCTGCTGCTGCTGCTGCTGCTGCTGCTGCTGCTGCTGCTGCTGCTGCTGTTGGTCCTGGTGATGCCGACGCACGTGCGGGATCACAACAACTGAAGATCTGCGGGACATGGTAAATGCATACCGCATGCCATGATGATGCCTGTGAAGCGGCCCAAACGGGGACGTCATGGCAGGTGCATGATCTATCATATCATCATGCCAACTTGGGAGCATGTATGGAGCTGAAGCTGCCATGCTGCATACCTCCACCACCTCCTCTGTTTCCCGGAGAGAACCATGCTCAGCATGCGTCATCACACCCCCTGCCACTTCGACACTGAAACCCCATGACACCGCTCGTGGTTCGCTTGATGCCCGCGGAACGAAGCGTTCCGGGACTGGCATTCCTGCTGTTTGCTCCCAAGCCAGCACATGCTGCCCTGCTGCCGATGCTTGTTCCCCTATCGCTGCACGTTGCCCTGCTCTTTGCTGCCTGGACGAATCATGTTGCCCTGCCTGTCCCCCTGTCAGTGCGTGCTGCGCTGCTCCCAAAGCCTGCTCCCTGGCTGCCAGTACTGGAAGTCCTATCGTACAACCAGACGGACCCCCTGCTGCTGCACCTACCACCACACCTGCCCCTTGGACCTGTTGACCCCGTTGACCTTGTTGACCTGGCTGATCCCATTGAGAGGATGGACCAAATTCCGCAGACATGGCTCCTTGGACTGGCATGGTCGGCTGGCTCGGCTGCATTGCCATCATGTACACACCAGTACCGTTCTCAACCCCAGACATAATGCAACCTCCTTGCTGCCTATCCGCCGCTTCGCGTATCTGGTTTGGCAATCCTTGGTTCGAAGGACTGCTTTCGTGAGCCGCATCCTTGGTGCCAGGCAGCTGGTAGTGCTGATCAGGTGCCATATCTATGGGAGTGGCCCCCACCCTCACCATCAGTTCCACCCTGTTGTCATGGGAAACAAGGCCAGCCAAGTGCGCATCCATTCCCGTCCTTGTCTCCAACGCACTCTCCTCCTCCATCGCACCCTCCTTCTCCATCGCACCCTCCTTCTCCATCGCACCCTCCTTCTCCATCGCACCCGCCTCCTCCATCGCACCTTCCCCGTCAATGGTCTCTCTGCTTCCACTGCTTTCTTCCTCTGAAAGCATCTCCCATTCGTCCACTCCCTCCTTGCCTTTCGCAGTACCAACCCCACCCCCTCCACCCCCTTCGGTTTCTTCTATTCCCCCCAGCTGCTCGGCAAAATGCTCCGCAATTTCAGAGAACAACTCCCTCTCACCTTCCGTCAAGCCCTCAAATCCCACCACCTCTTGCAATCCCAACCCTCCAAACCTTTCCAGATCTGCTCCCAGTGCATTGAACCCCAGCAACCCCTGTCCATTTACCATAGCACTTGGCAGATTTATCTCGGCGCTACTAAACACTGGGTTGCCTTCACGGGGATGACCGCTGGTGAGTGCAGCTTCAGGGACTGAGATATCAACAAATGTGGATGGGAGGGCACAGACAGAGGCGGAGGAGGCAGAGGCAGAATTGGCAGAGCTACTACCGCTTACAGTGGATCTTCCTTCGGGAATGTATACTCCTCCTGCTTTGCTCCCGCTATCACTCCCTGCTGAAGTTTCTGCTGCAAATCCTACTACTCCCTCTCTTCCTCCTTCTCCTCCTGCTCCTCCTCCTCCTCCTCCCCCTCGTCCTCCTCTTCCTCTTCCTCTTCCTCCTCCTACCCCTCCTCCTCTTCCTCCTCCTCTTCCTCTTTGTTGTACCCTGTCTCTTCCTCCTCCTTCCCCTCCTCCTCCTCCTCCTCCTCCTCCTCCTCCTCCTCCTCCTCCTCCTCCTCCTCCTCCTCCTCCTCCTCCTCCTCCTCCTCCTCCTCCCAGTCCCACAATTGCAGCTGGTACCAACACTGTTCCTATAGCCCCTGATTCTGCACCTGTTTCTTTTTTTAATGCTTCCCCACTTGTTCCCACTTCAGACAACCTTTGAGGCACCGCGAAGCTCGCTGCCACCACCCTACTCGTACCCTCTCCAAACGGCCTTTGAGGCACAGCAAACGTCACTGCTCCGTCCCTGATTAATCCCTCTCCCTGCTGTAGTGTCTGACCCATCAACCCATGTGGCTGCTCTCCCATACCCATCCCTCCACCATCCACCTCTGCATCCCTTCCTGCTGCTTCCATCCTAGCCGTTTCTCCTAATAGCGCTTCAGGATCCGAACCTACTACCCCTCTCCTTTCCTGAATATGCCTCCTTGGGAAGTTAAGCTTCGCCTTTGATCCTCGTAGATTCAAAGCAGCTTCATCAAACGCCCGAGCAGCCTCCTCTGCAGAAGGAAACGTACCCAGCCACCTGCGGACCCCACCCTTGGTGTCTTTAATCTCTGCAACGTAACGAAATTCCCCGCGCTTCCTCACTCCCCGGTACTGCCCTGGCTGGTTGTAGTTGCGGCTGCGTGCCATTCTGGTGCGTCTGGGTAAACGCCCTGATGGGCCTGATTGCTCTGATGACCCTGATGGGCCTGATTGCTCTGATGGCCCTGTTGGCCCTGCACCAGCGGCAGCCTCACCTTGTTCTCGTGCTTGCGACAAGTGCGGCTGTAGCAGTGGCTGTAGCTGAGAGGAGAGCTGCTGGATCCGGTGTGGTGATAGCTGCTCTGGATGAGCCTGTTGCTGAGCCTGTAGCTGTGCCTGTAGCTGTGCCTGTAGCTGTGCCTGTAGCTGTGCCTGTAGCTGAGCATGTAACTGCGGCTGTAGCTGAGCCTGTACCTGTGCCTGAAGCTGAGCATGAAACTGTGGCTGTAGCTGAGCCTGTATCTGTGCCTGTAGCTGTGGCTGTAGCTGAGCCTGTAGCTGATACTGTAGCTGACCCTGTAGCTGAAACTGTAGCTGAGACTGTAGCTGAGCCTGTAACTGAGACTGTATCTGTGGCTGTAGCTGAGCCTGCACCTGTGGCTGTAGCTGAGCCTTTACCTGTTGCTGTGGCTTAGCCTGTAGCTGTGACTGTAGCTGAGCCTCAGGCTGTAGCTGTGGCTGTGGCTGTGGCTGTTGTGACAGCGCTGTATAGGCCCGTGCTGCAAGCTGCTGTGACATGTGCAGCTGCAGCATCTGTTGTTGCATCTGCTGCTGTGATACCTGCAGCTGCAGCATCTTTTGTTGCATCTGCTGTTGATCCATCTGCTGATCTTGCATCTGCTGCTGTGGCATCTGCTGCTGTGACATCTGCTGCTGGCGTGCCTGTCGTTGCATCTGCTCTGGTTGCATGATCTGCTGCTGCTGCATCCGCTAGTACTCTGGAATCTGCTGGTCCGGAATGGCGTCTGCTGCTCTGTCATCTAATCGCTCAGCCAGCAGAACGCTACCGTTGCAGATGCTACTGGACGACTGAGGCTAAAAAAAAAAAATCAGAAGGTCTCCCAGGAGGGAGAGTAGAATTGTCACTCCCTGCTGTTCCACGTGGTCTAGTTTAGAGGTTCCAACAAATAAAAGTACTTAACTTACCACTTGATAAACCACTTCTCATCGGAGGAGGCAGATGAAGCTGCTGCTGTCTCCGTGCACCACTGTCAGTACAGCCAATTGAGGCTACTGGCAGTAACAGTTGCGGGTTCCCCCGAGTCTACTAATGGTACTGCTTCTAGTATTACTAGCAGCTGAGAGTCTCAAGCGGCATGAGTGGACTTAATTCAGGATGGCAATTGCAGGTCTGAACTAGTAGTGGCGCCACTGGAGATTCGCCGAACTGTTCAACTGGCAGTTGCCAACACTGGCAGCGATCCAGGACAGGACTTAGGTTTATTAGTAATAGACATGGGGTGCTTCGTGGCGAGTTAGCTAGCTATATCTACTGTAGTGAATGAGCTTGCTACTGCTGGTACTAGCCAGCTTTTGCACAACTGTCAGACTTTGGGAGATTGAATCAGGAGCTACACATTCTGTCTGTTGCTCCACCTCAAAATGGCTCTTGGTTTTGTGGGCTTCAGGTTGACCAGTAGAAAGTATCTTCAGCTGGGCAAGTGGCTGGTCTCTCCCATTGGTTCGATTCTGCACTGTACTTTGGCCTTCCCCTTGACGCGCATGATTCAGGGTTTCAGATGTACAGTCCTGGACACTCCCATTTCACTTCCCCGTCACACGGAAGGCTTCGGGTTTCAAAAATTGGTTGTACAGTAAAAAGTAAATCATTTTACAGTGTAGGACCAACCTCGCCGGGATGTGCTGACGGCGAAGGGCTTGGAGTGGCTCCTAGAGTGTATTCTGATTGGTTGGATTTTGCGTGATTCGCGTTGGGCATTTGCGTGATTGACGCTGGGCTTGGTTGGCCTTCGCGTCATTCGCGCGTTGCACTTGGATTGCCTCAGCTGCATACGTGGCGAGTGATCCAGGGAGTTCGGAAAGTCGCACACTTGCTTGAAACCGCAGAGGATGGAGACTTTGAGGAAGTCAATAACCGTTGTGCGGTGACGTGGAAGGTAACCGTTCTTACAGAAGGAAAAACACCACCACCAAGCGCGCATTCACCTCAAACTGACATTGTACCATCTTACGAGACTTCTCGTTATGTGCATATTGCACATTCGCCTTATGAATGAACATACCCATTTAGGTTTTCAAAAACATTTAGCAAGGGACCATGACATAAGAGGACCCGATTACAGAGTGGTTCGACGCAGATACATTCATTTCCAGTATATTCAATCAATAAAATACCAATCTGTAACACATACTCATCTACACCTTACTATTCTGGCTTGCAACATGAGTGTGGACCATTGTTGAATTTATATTCATTTGTAACTGCATGCTATAATAGAAGTGTAGTATTATTTAGTTTCTCTGTTGGTGGTGTACCCCCTTTCCCCACCTTCCCTTGCATCTATATCTTGTACTGTTGTTAGTGAATCCCCTCTTCTCTCTCGAAACCCTCTTGCCACTCACGTTCCTACTCTAGCCATGGCTACTAAGGCTAAGGCTACTTCAACAGCCATGACGACTCACCTCCATCTCTACTGTGCTCGTTCAGCCAGTCGTTGCTCCTCACTGCCAAATCCCCCTCCTCCTCCTCCTCCTCCTCCTCCTCCTCCTCCTCCTCCTCCTCCTCCTCCTCCTCCTCCTCCTCCTCCTCCTCCTCCTCCTCCTCCTCCTCCTCCTCCTCTGCCCCTCCACCGCTACTCCGTCTCCTCTGCCCCTATTTAGAAGCTGGGGTGTGTGGCATTATAGGATGATAATGGACTGGTTGGATAAGGTCATGATGATATGATGTCATGGGTCATGGTGGCATGATAGCATGGTGTTACGATGGCATGCTGGCATAATAACATGGCATGATTGCACCATCACATGCATTGACATTTTGGGACACTGCCGGCATGCAAGTGTTGGAGCAGCATGGCATGGACGAGACATGGTACACCAGATGCAGCCCCATTCACCCACTCCAGTTACCAAGAACAATAGATGGTAACTTCGTGCACTCCCGCGTGGCCATCATTCCTTCCATGTTGTCATTTCCTATATGCGCGCGTGCATAAAAACACACACACAGACACACACACACACACGCACACACACACCACACACACATGCACACACACATATACACACACACCATACACACATACATATATACATACATACATACATACATACATACATACATACATACATACATACATACATACATGCTTACATACATAAATACATACATACATACATACATACATACATACATACATACATACATACATACATACATACATACATACATACATACATACATACATACATACATACATAAATACATACATACATACATACATGTCAGAATGTTATAGTGCTTACAGTTGTGTAGGCTATAGTGGGGTAGCCCATAAGGGGTACAACCCAATTAGGGTTAGTACTTGTGCCCAACTATTTCATAGTTCTTTCATTCTCGTTCAGTATTCTGACATGGATTCAGAGCAGGTCCTTCCCTAGGACCGTTTTTTTTTTTCCTTGGGCCCACCACAGCGCTACCCCGCTAGTCGCCCTCTGCAGCCCTCGTGCTGCCCCTACTGCCCGTCGCGACCCGTCGACCCCTAGGCCCATCGCGACCCGTCGCCCGTAGGCCCGTCGCCCCTAGGCCCGTCGCCTCGGCCCGTCGCCTTGGCCCGTCGCCCCTAGGCCCGTCGCCCTAGGCCCGTCGCCCCGGCCCGTCGACCCTCGGCCCGTCGCCCCTAGCCCGTCGCCTAGGCCCGTCGCCCTAGGCCCGTCGCCTCGGCCCGTCGCCCCTAGGCCCATCGCCCTATGCCCTACGCCCTAGGCCCGTCGCCCCTCGGCCCGTCGCCCTAGGCCCGTCGCCCCCGGCCCGTCCCCCCTAGCCCGTCGCCGCTAGGCCCGTCCACCCGTGGCTCGTCGCCCGCTAGCGGCTCGCCCACCGCCCCTACCACCCTCGCGCGGCCCGCGATCGGCCCGCCAGCTGCCTCTGCTGCCCGCGCGCCGCTCGCTATAGGCCCGCCAGCCGCCCCTGCCGCCCGCGCGCCGCCCGCTAGTGGCCCGCCAGCCGCCTCTGCCGCCGACGAGCCGCCCGCTCTCGGCCCGCCAACTGCCCCCGCCGCCCGCGTGCCGCCCGCTATCGGCCCGCCAGCCGCTTCTGCCGCCCGCGCGCCGCCTGCTAACGGCCCGCCAGCTGCCTCTGCCGCCCGCGCGCCGCCCGCTATCGGCCCGCTAGCCGCCTCTGCCCCCCGCACGCCGCCTGCCAACGGCCCGCCAGCCGCCTTTGCCGCCCGAGCACCGCCGGCTATCGGCCAGCCCGCCGCCCCTGCAGCCCACGCGCCGCTCGCTAGCGGCCCGCTAGCCACTCCTGCCGCCTGCACGCCGCTCTCTAACGGCCCGCTAGCCGCCCCTGCCGCACGTGCATCGCCTCTTTCTTCCTGTACGCCGTCCCTTGCAGCTTGTGCACTGCCTTCTTGCAGCCCGCTTGCTCCCCCCCTCTACGCTGCCCAGCTTCTGCCCGCCCTGCGTGCTGCGCCACTATGGCTTCTCTCCGCGTGCTAGCATTCGATCATGAGGGATGCCCCCTGCAGTTTGACACGTGGCTCGACGACCTGCAGCTGTACCTGCTGAGCGACTCTAGGGACAGTGTTTCGTTGTTTGACCACACGTCTGGCGCCGCCACGAAGGCGTGGCAGGGAGGGGTGACCCAGGCGGTGGTGCCACAGAAGAGTCTGGTGCAACAGGAGGCGACACGAGCAAGGGGGTGCTACCTGACCTGACGCGGACACCTGAGCAGACGCAGCTACCTGAGGAGGCTCGGTAGCTAGTGTGTACAAACGCTATGGCACTTCGTCCTTCCTCTGTTCCACTGCGTGTTCCTCTGCCGCCTCCTCCTGAGTCCTCTCTTCTCGAGGTCCCTGACCCTGAGTCTGACCGCGCTCGTGCCGCCAGTCCCACTGTCTCTCGTCTCCTCGCCACTGCTGTCACTGACCCTTCTTTTGAGTCCACTGCTGCGTATGCCCTCGTTGCTGAGCTGCTTGACTTTGCTGCTGCCTGTCGTCTAGACCACGCCACTGCTCTTGTTGCTGAGTCTGAGTCTGCCAGTCCTCGGTCCGTCGGGGGTGAGTGTGCTCTTGGCACGGACGTCCTTGAGGACAGGCAGGAGGACTTTGAGTGTCTTGCATCTGCTGTACCTCGTTTCGCTTCCATGCTGCTTGCCCCTGAGGGAGACCCGGATGCACCAGACATCCCGACCCCGCGCTCTTACGCAGAGGCGATTACGGGTCCTTACTCCTCTCAGTGGCAGGCAGCCATGGATGCCGAGATGGCATCCTGGAAGTCCACAGGCACCTACGTCGACGAGGTTCCCCCACCTGGGGCGAACATAGTCGATGACATGTGGATTTTCAGGGTGAAGCGGCCGCCGGGTTCTCCGCCTGCCTTCAAGGCGCGTTACGTTGCTCGAGGCTTCAGTCAGCGACAGGGGGTTGACTACTTCCAAACCTTCTCCCCCACCCCAAAGATGACTACTCTTCGGGTGTTGCTGCACGTCGCTGCTCAGCGTGACTACGAGTTACACTCTTTGGACTTCAGTACAGCTTCCTTGCAGGGCAGCCTGCACGAGGAGATCTGGCTGCGCCGCCCACCTGGCTTCACTGGGTCGTTTCCTGCAGGTACCCAGTGGAGCCTCCGCCGGCCAGTCTACGGTCTTCGCCAGGCGCCTCGTGAGTGGTACGACACACTGAGGACTACATATGCGGCTCTTGGGTTTGCTCCTTCTACTGCTGATCCGTCGTTGTTTCTACGCACCGACACCTCGCTGCCGCCGTTCTACGTCCTCGTCTACGTCGACGAACTCGTCTTTACCACTGCTGACACTGAGGCACTGAACCTTGTGAAGTCGGAGCTGCAGAAGAGACACACCTGCACTGACCTGGGACAGAGCACGGCGCACCATCAGACTGACTCAGTCACACATGGTGCACCAGGTCCTTCAGCGCTTCGGCTTCCAGTTCTCCTTGCCACAGCCCACTCCTCTGTCTACCGGCCACTCGCTCTCAGCTCCACCTTCGGACGAGTCCGTAGAGCCGAGTGGTCCATACCCAGAGCTTGTGGGTTGCCTCATGTACATGATGACATGCACCCGACCTGACCTCGCGTACTCTCTCAGCCTTCTGGCTCGCTACGTGGCCCCCGGTAGGCACTGAAAGGTGCACTGGGATGCTGCGAAGAGGGTACTGCGTTACTTGTGCAGTACGTCGGGCATGGGGCTCGTGCTTGGAGGACGGGGTCCAGTTGTCCTCACTGGTCACGCAGACGCTTCTTGGGTTGACGGCTTGGCTACGCAGCGGTCGTCACAGGGTTACACCTTCAGCCTCGGTTCCGGCTCTGTTTCCTGGCGGTCTACCCGCTCGTCTTCAGTTCCCAACTCGAGTTGTGAGGCTGAGATCTACGCAGGGGCCATGGCTGCACAGGAGCTACGCTGGCTCACCTACCTGCTGACCGACTTGGGAGAGCAGCCTCGTTCACCTCCAGTTCTGTACGTAGACAACAAGGCCATGAATGCCTTGTGTTAGGAGCACAGACTGGAGCACAGAACGAAACACATCGCTCTGCGATACTTCTTTGCTCGAGAGTTGCAGCAGCGTGGCCAGCTTCGTCTTGCGTACGTGGCCACTAGGGCCAACACTGCTGATATATTCACCAAGGCACTTCCGCCTGGTGATCATCAGCGATTCTCTACTGTGTTAGGCCTTGTGCCTACTTTGCCTCACTTACTCACTGCTTGACTTTGCTTGTACTGTGATCTATATATATACCTGCATGCTTACACTTGCTAGGGTATGATCACTGTATTGTTTGTTCTCTTTTATATGACTCTGCATGTGAACTGGCCTTGTGGCCCTTTGCTTGTGCTCGGACTGTGTGGTGACTTTGTGATCCACCCTGAGCTTGCTTTGCTTTTCTTGACTGGTCTTGTGGCCACTTGTTCTCCCCCACTTTGCCTATGGGGGTGTGTCAGAATGTTGTAGTGCTTACCGTTGTGTAGGCTATAGTGGGGTAGCCCATAAAGGGGTACAGCCCAATTAGGGTTAGTACATGTACCCAAATCTTTCATAGTTCATTCATTCTCGTTCAGTATTCTGACACTACATACATAGATACATACATACATACATACACACATTCATACTTACATATATACATACATACAAACATACATACATACATACATACATACATACATACATACATACATACATACATACATACATTCATACATACATACATACATACATACATGTTAACGGGAATGGAGTGTTGGCCCCGCCCTCGCTTGGGCAATGCCGAGGACTTAGTCGGATGTACGGGAGTAGCAGCCGACCGTTCATAGTGGGAAAGCTGCTCGACAGGCTTCGTCGAGCTGCAGTCGACCACTGTAGTGTTGCTGTCGACCAGGGAGCTCGACAGCTACAAGTGACTGGTCTGGGCGACGGGTTTGCCGTTGACCAGGAGGAGCAGTTCGACCGGGAGGTCGACGGAGCAGTCCCTCGACCTTACAAGTGAGCAGCGGTCGACGAGAGGAGCTCGGCGACAACAGCTAACAGTCCTGATTGACGAAAGGGGTCCGTCGACCAGGGGGTAGCTCGACGGGAGTTGTGGTCGACCAGGGGCACCTGGTGGTCGTCCAGGTCGACCGGGTAACCTGCTCGGCGAGTTCTGCGGAGGCACGCGAACGTCGTCGAGGTCGCGATGGCGAAGGCGACTTCGGGTTGGTATCCCGAAGTCGATGTGGCTCGTCAAGCGCAGACAACAGCCGACGAATGCACAACGGTGCAAGTCGGGCCAATCGTCTGCGCACACCTACGAGCGAGCGCACTGCTGTCTTCTACGGGGCAACGCTGGACAGCCGCTCTTCTACAGCATTGGCACACCGTCGACCTGCTGTGTTGGCAGGTCGCCTTTCTGCAGTGCTGGCGCAGCTACTCTACGCAATGCTGGCGGGCGGTCGACCAGGCTGTGCTGTCGGTCGACCAGGCTAGCTGCAGAGTTGCTAGGTGCTTGATGTAGTTATTGTTGTCATTGCTTGTTCAACTATTCTGTAATTCCAACTTTGCTAGTGGAAACTCTTGCCGATTTCTCCCGTGATTGTGCAAGCACTAAGGAACTAGGCAAAGCTACGATCACTCATAGTAGTTCGTGCCAACCCTGTAGTCTAGCTCACTACAGTTGTAGAGTGAATCTCCGCAATACATACATACATACATACATACATACATACATACATACATACATACATACATACATACATACATACATACATACATACATACATACATACATACATACATACATACATGCATGCATGCATACACACACGCACGCGCACACACACACACACACACACACACACACACACACACACACACGCATGAGCACACTTGTATTATTAGTCAACAAACAAACAAAGATATGCCTAATGAATATAAATAGGAGCTAAATACATGCAATTCAACCCTATCCTTATTCCCTATGGTCCCCATTATCCATCAAGAACCTCTCGAGTGCATCAATGGTGTAGGTTTCAGCACCAGGGCTAGGCGATGCTTCATGCTCGAATTCCCCTGTATTCAACTCTCCTGCATCAATCCCATGTTCCCCAACCTCCAAACCTACTCTGTTGACTCCCAACTGCTCCATCAAGGGGACCGCATTAATATGATTCTCGAAGCTGTGATAGGCTGCACCCTGGATGCGAGAAGATGAAGAGGTGAGGCCCCAGGCAGCAACTGCAGAGTGTTCCTTGTCTCTCAGGATCAACAGGTTGGCTGAGGGGTGAGGATGAGAAAGGTGCTCAGCAGTAGGCTGGTCAGTAGCACCAGCATTGTATGCAGGCCTGAAGTCCTCTACTGCAGGTTCCTGCATTTCGACATCTATTCCACTGCTGCCAGGGTTTAGGGTCCCACCACCAGTCCCGTAGCTGTTGATTCCCTTATAGGCATCATGCTCCAAGGCATCAACACCGCACTTCTCTGTGTTGATGAATCCATGCCAGCGGGCCGTACCATCAAAGTTGGTGGTTGGATTGGCGGGGGACGGAGGGACACGGTGCGAGTGGGAGACTGCATCCTCAGCACCAGCTCCGGAAGCAGCGACAGAAGCAGCAGCAGCAGCAGCAGCAGCAGCAGCAGCAGCAGCAGCAGCAGCAGCAGCAGCAGCAGCAGCAGCAGCAGCAGCAGAAGGAGGAGGAGAAGGAGGAGGAGGAGGGTCAGGAGCAGCCACAGGGACAGGACCAACAGCAGGTGCTGAAACAGTGGCAGCAGCGCCAGCAGCATCAGCGGCATGCACCGAGCTTCTCTCAACGGTAGCTACCTTGCCCCTCCTTCCAGCCTTGAGATTGAAAGAGCTGCGTTGAGAGAAGCTCGGTGCATGCCGCTGATGCTGCTGGCGCTGCTGCCACTGTTTCAGCACCTGCTGTTGGTCCTGTCCCTGTGGCTGCTCCTGACCCTCCTCCTCCTCCTTCTCCTCCTCCTTCTGCTGCTGCTGCTGCTGCTGCTGCTGCTGCTGCTGCTGCTGCTGCTGCTGCTGCTGCTGCTGCTGCTGCTGCTGCTGCCACTGTTGGTGCCCCTCCTGCTGCCTCTGCAGTCCATGCTGCTGCTGCAGCAGCTGCTGCTGCCACTCTTTCTGCCCCTCCTTCTCCCCCTGCTGTTGCTGCTGCTGCTGCCTCTGCTGCTCCCTATGGTGCTGCCCATGCTGTTGCTCCTGTCCCTGCTGCTGCTGCCACTGCTGCTGCTGGTTCGGGTGATGCTGATGCACATTCGGAATCACAACAACTGAAGATCTGCGTGACATGGTAAAAGCATACCTCTTGCCACGATCATCCCTCTGATGTGGCGCAAACGAGGACATCATGCCAACAGCACACTGCATCATATCAGCATGCCAGCTAGGAAGCACACTTAAAGCCGAACCTGCCATACTGGGCACCTCCACCTCCACCTCCACCCCCTCCTTCGCTTCTTGCAGAGACCCATCCTCACCAGGTGTCATAAATCCCCCAGACACCTCGACACTGAAACCCCATGAAACAGCAAGTGGTTCGTTTGGGACTGGCAGCCCTGCTGATTGCGGCCTACCCAGGCTACCCAACGCTTGCTGCCTTGTCACTGCGTTCTGCCCTGCTGCCAACGCGTGCTGCCCTGCTGCCAGTGCTGGGGTTCCTACTGGAGTATGAATTTGCTCCATGCCTAGACGATCGGATGGACCTCCTGCTGCCACACCAGCCACCACACCTGCCCCTCGGCCCAGTTGACCCTGTTGGCCCAGTTGACCCTGTTGACCCCGTTGACCCGGTTGGCCCTGATGGTCCTGTTGGCCCTGTTGGCCCTGTTGACCCGGCTGGCCCTGTTTACCCTGTTGACCTTGCTGATGCCATTGGGAGGAGGATGGACCAAATGGTGCCGACTGGGCAGCTTGATATGGCACCGCCTGGTGGCTTGACTGTATTGCCATCATGTAGGTACCATGGCCATTTTCACCCTCAGAAATTGTCCAGCCTCCTTGCTGTCTCTCCACCCCTTCAGTTTTCAGGTTTTCCCTTCCTTGGTTCAGAGGACTGCTTTCGTGAGGCGAATTGTTGGTACTAGGCAGCTGGAAGTATCGATTAGATGGCCCCATTTCCATCGCCAAACGCTCATTCGTTTTCATCCTCGTCTCCACCGCACCTCCGTCCTCCTCCATCTCTCCTTCCCCTCCAGCCGTCTCTCGGCTTTCATTACCTTCCTCCTCTGAAATCATCTCCCATTCTTCCACACCCTCTTTTCCTGCCGCAACACCAACCCCACTCCCTCCAGCCCCATCGGCTTCTTCTATCCTCCCCAGCTGCTGGGCAAACTGCTCTGCAAGATCAGAGGTCCACACTTTCTCACCGTCTGCCAAGCCCTCAAACCCCATCTCCTCAAATCCCATCTCTTCAAACCTGTCCAGATCTTCTCCTAGGCCATCGAATCCCAGCAACTCCTCTCTAGTTTTCATGGCACTTGGTATCTTCCCCAGCGGGATTGAGTGTTGATTCGTGATAGCGCCGCTATAAATTGGGTTGTCTTCTGGTGTGTGAGTGGGGAAGGTGGTATGGACAGGAACGCTGGTGAGTGCAGCATCAGGGACTGGGATACCAAGAAGGGTGGAGGGAAGGGCAGAGGCAGAGGAAGAGGAGGCAGAGGCGGAAGAAACAGAGATGGAAGGGGCGGAGGAGGAAGGGGCAGCTAAGCCCGAGCTACTACCGCTTGCAGTGGAGATTCCTTCTGGAATTTTGGCTCCTCGTATTCTGCTCCCACTATCACTACCTGCTGACGTGTCTGCTGCTAATTCTCCTTCTCCTCCCCCTCCTCCTCCTCCTCCTCCTCCTCCTCCTCCTCCTCCTCCTCCTCCTCCTCCTCCTCCTCCACCTCCTACTACTACTACTTCTACTCTTCCTTCTCCTCCTCCCCCTCCTCCTCTTCCTCCTCCTCCTCTCCCACGTCTCCTTCCTCGTTCCCTTCCTCTTCCTGTTCCTCCTCCTCCTTCCCCGTCTTCCCCTCCCACAGGTGCAGCTAGTACTGAAGACCGCCCTATAGCCTCTGATCCTGCGCCAGTTCCTTCTGCAGATGCTGTCACAGCCCTACTTGTTCCCTCTCCAAACGGCCTTTGAGTCGCCATAAAGTTCGCTGCTACCTCCCTACTTGCACCCTCTCCAAATGGCCTATGAGGCACCGCAAAGGTCGCTGCTACTTCTCCATTTTTTTCCTCTCCCATCAGTCTTGTCTGACCCACAACCTCGTGCGCAGTAGTATCTTCACCGTTTCCCACCTCCTTCCCTTTTCCTCCACTGCTCCTAGTACTACCGCCATCCCCAACCTGTCTTACTACTCCCACGCCAATTTCTCCACCATCCTTCCCTGCATCTCTCTCTGCTGTTTCCATCCTAGCCGCTGCTCCTAATAGCGCTGCAGGATCCGAACCTACTATTGCTCCCCCTTTCTGAATAGGCCTCCTTGGGAAGTTAAGCTTCGCCTTTGCTCCTCGGATAATCAAAGCAGCTTCATCAAACGCGCGAGCGGCCTCCTCTGCAGAAGCGAACGTGCCCAACCACTTGCGGACCCCGGTATTCGTGTCTTTAATCTCTGCAATGTAACGAAACTCCCCTCGCTTCCTCACTCCCCGGTACCGCCCTGGCTGGTTGTAGTTGCGGCTGCGCGGCAATCTGGTGTGCCTAGCTCCTCGCCCTGATGACCTTGTGCCAGTTGCAGCCTCACCTTGTTCTACTAGTCCTCGCTGCAATTGTGGCTGTAGCAGTGGCTCTAGCTGTGAGGAGAGCTGCTGTATCCGGTGTGGTGGTAGCTGCACTGGCTGAGCTTGTAGCTGTGGCTGTGGCTGTGGCTGTAGCAGCAGCGTTGTGTAGTTATGCTCCTGCATCTGCTGCTGCGACACCTGCTGCTGTGAGAACTGTTGCTGTGAGAACTGCTGTTGTGAGAACTGCTGCTGTGACAGGGAGACCTGTTGCTGTGGCATCTGCTGCTGTAACATCTGCTCCTGTGGCTGTTGCTGTGACATATGCTGCTGTGACATTCGCTGCTGTGACAGTGACATCTGCTGCTTTGGCTTCTCCTGCAGTGCCATCTCCGGCTGTGACATTACTACAGCTGTGACATCTGCTGCTATGATATTTGCTCTGGTTGCATCTGCTGCTCTTGAAACTGCTGCAGTAGAATCTGCTTCTGTGACATCTCCTGTTGCTGCATCTGCTGCTGGGTACCTCCAACTACTAGTAGTAAATCAGAAGAACTTTCAGAAATGGAGGACCGAGGCTGCTCTGAAAACAGTGGCCTGCTATTCAGAGAACCTCTGAAAGTCTCCCTCCATCCCAAGAGTATCCTGCTGTCTGACGCTGTCTTATCTTTTGGCAACCAAAAAAAAAGCCAATTGATTAATGATGCTGCTGCTGGCTCCGCGCACCACTTGTGCTGTTGGAAGCCGGTTGGCAAGGACGAGGCTAGATTGCTAAGTTGGCCCTAATCTACCAGTACTGCCAGGAAATTGAAGGCGGCATTATTGAATAACTCCGCGTGGAATCCAAAATTTAGCTTTGCAGGTTGAAACAATGCAGCCTAGTAACTTGCCGAAACCGTCTGCGACTAGCAGGAGTTCTAACTTCTAGTCCTGCTGTGCTCTGTGGCTGGAACAGACGACTGTAGTGACTATGAAGCCTAGCACCTCTTGTTGCAAAACTTGGAGTTTTGTAGAACTTCTATGGGCTGGACTAGTAGTAATATAGAATGGGTTGCTGCAGCATCCCAACTTGTTTCTGTTGCCCCACTTCAAAATGAGCTCTGGTTCTGTGCTCCTTGGTTTTGAGTGTTTCACTGCTCTGGGTTCAAGTGGAACCTTGGTGATGGACAAGGTTGCCAGCCAATCCCATCGGTTGGATGCAGTTCTTTTACTTTCCCGTCACGGGCACGGATCCAGTCCAGAATTCAGATGCACGCACACATGTACACTGCAAGTGGCTAGGCTCTCCCACTAGTTCTACACTCGTGCTGTACACGTACAGTTTTTGCCTTTCCCGTCACGGAGACGTTTCAGGGTTTCATTTCATGCGGAATTCGATTACACTTTGCGGTATCCAGCTTCGCCAATGTCGCATAGAGTCGACAGATATTGACGAAAGCCCGTTAACACTCGTGACGAATCAGAAGTGCGGATATTGGAGATACTGATTGATTCTCAGGGTAGAGAACAAAATTGTTTCGCGCGTTGTTTGCAAGAGGTGTAGCCCTATTGGATCATGAGTGTGATTTGGTGAAGGACATGAAATGTTCTGCTGACAGGGCGATGCCGTTGTGGCGTTATGTTATTGGCTTGGTCTTGCGTGTTTTGCACGTTCGGCTTGGCTTAGCCTTTTCGTGGTTTGAGGGCGTTCCACTCCAACTGATTTGGAATCGGCTCAGCATCTGATTTGGACCTTGTTGAAACCACGGGGAATGGCGCGTAGCTGGTTGGCTGATCGTGTCTTATTAGGAATTGGCTAAATAAACCATACTGAAACATAACTTAAACGTCCTAAACCGTGCTCTTTCAATCCTAAACCCTCACGGAACTGTCGTCAGTCGTGACGTGGAAGTAACAGTTTTATGACATTATCGACGCTAGCTGCCAAGACGAAGTCCGCCTTTCAAGCGGCAAATGTCACGTGGATATGCTGTAAAAGGATGCACCCGAGGCTCATTCGCTTTCTCTGTGTTTTTCGGCAATGCAAGGTCACAGTACTACGTTTTACATTTACAGGTGTATAACGGTACAACAACAGATGATGTACACGTTACAGTTCACTTCCATACATTCGGAACCGAGTCAAGAACATCCATCGAGGATCTGACAAGATAGCAATGGGAAATACCAGAAACATCGCTAGCCCGTCATGTCTGTGTCGCCCATTTTGAACCGAGTCCGCCTGTCCAGCACTTACTAGTACCTAGGAGTCATCATGATCCCAAGTTCCGCTCGTTGCGCTTCGCCGCGGTTCTTTGCAACGCGCCGGCGTGAGCATCGCCGCGTTATTTGTTGATCCCAGCCTCACTGCTAGCCACAAATGCCCTCAAGCAGTGCGTCGCACACAGATTCAACTTCCGTCATCCAGTCATTCCTTCCTGGAAAATTCGGCTATTTCTGTCATTCTCGGCGGTTCTCTTGAAATCGACCAGCGGGAATGGCGATGGTGCAATTACTACGACGACATTGACGCCACCACGAGGAGGAGTTGCCGAAACGGCCCGGCGTGTGCTGCTGGGAGAAGCGACGATAGCGACGCCGTTGCGAAGCTGGCGAAAGCGTTACGACTGTGCGAAACGGAGTTACAGTAGTAGTAGTAGCGACGTCGTGAACAGGAGTCGCGACCGGGAAGCGGCAATCGACGAACAAGGACGGACCTCGGAGGGATTCCGGATTCTCCTGAAACCGACGCGTCTCCTGCTGCTAAGGCAGGGCGAAGCGGAACTATCAACGCTGGCGAAAACCCCGCGATGTCGAGCTTCTGCGACGTTCCTGCTGTCCGACGGACGTCGTACGGGCGAGTGGACGACGCGTTGCTGCGTCGCCTGCGATCCATTGTGGGCGACACAAACGTGACGACGAACCGAACGGTGGGATGCTTTATTGAGGGAGCATACGGAGGATGCCTGAATAGTGGAAATACAGATGGGAGGAAAATGTTGCTGTGTGTCGTACGGAGGATGCCTGAATATTGGAAATACAGATGGGATGCCTGAGCATTGGAAATGTACGTGGGTCACTCGCAGCGTCCTCATCCTCTGCTGTTCCTCCTTGCCGCCCTCTCTGCCCCTCTTCATCTGCCCTCCTAAAGGGCTCGCTTTTTTTTTCTCATGTGGTGTGCGGTATGGTGGCATGATGGCTTAACGTCATGCCTTGATGGATACGGTCGCATGATGGCGATGTGTGATGGCATGATGGCTTAACGTCATGCCTTGATGGATATGGTGGCATGATGACATGGCATTATGGAGTCATTACTTATGTTGACATGCTTTGATACTGACGTGCTCGCATGGCAGCAGGTGTTGGAGCAGCATGGCAGGGACGAGTCATACCACGAGGCTGTCCCACCAGACGCAGTTGCATTCCCCCGCTCCACTCACCAAGTGCAACAGCTGGTAACCGCGTGCGCTGCCGCCCGCGTGCCCGTCATTCCCTATGGCGCCGGCACGTCTCTGGAAGGCCACGTGGCGGCACTCTGTGGGGGAGTCTCCATTGACCTGTTGCAGATGAACGAGGTACGGTGGGTGGGGTTACCAGGAAATGGTTGGGGTGGGTGCCTCTAAAGTTGCTCGCCATTCCCTATGGCGCCAGCATGTCTCTGGAAGGGCATGTGGCGACTCTCGCTCTGTGGGGGAGTCTCCCTTGTCCTGTTGCAGATGAACGAGGTGCGATGGGTGCGGTTACCAGGTAACAACGAGGTACCTCAGAAGGTGCCCGTCATTCCCTATGGCGCCAGCACGTCTCTGGAAGGCCACGTGGCGGCGCTCTGTGGGGGAGTCTCCATTGACCTGTTGCTGATGAACGAGGTATTGTGGGGTTACCAAGTAACGCGTCCCATGATTGGCACAAGTAGCAGGGGTGAGCAGTTGCTGCATAGTTTATAGTGCATAGTGCTGTGTGCTGAGTGCTGAGTTCCAAGTGCTGAGTGCTGAGTTCCAAGTGCTAAGTGCTGAGTGCTGAGTTCCAAGTGCTAAGTGCTGAGTGCTGAGTGCTGAGTTCCAAGTGCTGAGTGCTGAGTTCCAAGTGCTAAGTGCTGAGTGCTGAGTTCCAAGTGCTGAGTGCTGAATTCCAAGTGCTAAGTGCTGAGTGCTGAGTGCTGATTTCCAAGTGCTAAGTGCTGAGTGCTGAGTTCCAAGTGCTGAGTGCTGAGTTCCAAGTGCTAAGTGCTGAGTGCTGAGTTCCAAGTGCTAAGTGCTAAGTGCTGAGTGCTGAGTTTCAAGTGCTGAGTGCTAAGTGCTAAGTGCTGAGTTCTGATGGTGAATCTCAGGTAGTGGTGGTGCATGTAAAGAGAGGACATGCACTGCAGGGTGCAGTCAGGGCAACACACAAGTCAATCTCCAGGCACCACAAAGTCGTGCACCTTCGTTCAGTCTCTCAAGCCCTGTTGCCGTTTTACCATAGGTGCATGGCAGGCTCGGAATGCACCATAGGTGCGTGGCAGGCTCGGAATGCACCATAGGTGTGTGGCAGGCTCGGAATGCACCATAGGGGCGTGGCAGGCTCGGAATGCACCGTAGGTGCGTGTGGCAGGCTCGGAATGCACCATAGGTGCGTGGCAGGCTTGGAATGCACCGTAGGTGCGTTAGTGGTAGGCTCGGAATGCACCATATGTGCGTGGTTAGGATCGTCAATTGCATTCCAAAATAATGAATCAATGCATGCAGCACTTTGTGGCGATGTGCATGCCACCATGCCATCATGTGAATGTAATGCTCTTTTGAGTCGCCTCAAAAGTCACTTCGGCACTGCGCATGGCACCATGCCATCATGTGAATGCAATGTGGACACTCTTTTGAGTCGACTCAGAAGTCACCCCAATTGAGTCGCCTCAAAAGTCACCCCAATTGAGTCGCCTCAAAAGTCACCCCAATTGAGTCGCCTCAAAAGTCACCCCAATTGAGTCGCCTCAAAAGTCGCTTTGGTGCTGCACATGGCACCATGCCATGGCATACCACACCAAGTCGTGGTGGTCATCGTGTGAGTGCAATGTGGAAGCTCCAAGCGACTCACATTCTTTACTTTGAATCATGCCAATCAAATGTGATTCCCTCCATATATGCTTCCCCCTGTCTGTGCCTCCCCCGGTGTGCCTCCCCCCATGCGTGCGCACGAGTGCAGGGGGGATGACAGCAACAAGAGCATCAGGCACCGATGCTGTTCGGTATGCCATAATCATCCCATGACTCATGCCTTCCCATCCCATGACTCATGCCTTCCCATCCCATGACTCATGCCTTCCCATCCCATGACTCATGCCTTCCCATCCCATGACTCATGCCTTCCCATCCCATGACTCATGCCTTCCCATCCCATGACTCATGCCTTCCCATCCCATGACTCATGCCTTCCCATCCCATGACTCATGCCTTCCCATCCCATGACTCATGCCTTCCCATCCCATGACTCATGCCTTCCCATCCCATGACTCATGCCTTCCCATCCCATGACTCATGCCTTCCCATCCCATGACTCATGCCTTCCCATCCCATGACTCATGCCTTCCCATCCCATGACTCATGCCTTCCCATCCCATGACTCATGCCTTCCCATCCCACGACTCATGCCTTCCCATCCCATGACTCATGCCTTCCCATCCCATGACTCATGCCTTCCCATCCCATGACTCATGCCTTCCCATCCCGTGACTCATGCCTTCCCATCCCATGCCATCATCCCAAGCCATCATCCCATCCCATGCCATCACATGCCATGCCTACTTTCTTCGTTCTGCTTCCTATTCCCCCTTCCCCGTGCCCAGTTTCTCCTTCCCCGTGCCCAGTTTCCCCTTCCCTTTTTCCCCTTCCCCATTTTCCCTTCGCTTCTCACCTTTCTCGTTCCCCCTTCCCTGAATTTCGAGTCCTCCTTCCCTTGTCCCCTTTCGCAATTCCCATTCTCCCTTTCTCAATCCCCATTGCGCTTTCCCCTCCCCAGTTCGCATTCCTGATTTCCCCTTCCCCATCCCCCTACCCCAGCCCCTCTTTCATCAGCTCTGCTGCTCTCCCTACCTCCATGCCCCACCACGGCCCACCACACCCCACCGTGTCCCACCACACCACACCCCACCATGCAGATGCAGTCCCATTCATGCACTCCACACACCAAGAGCATCAGGTGGTAACTGCCTTCGCTCCCAGGTGCCCATCATTTTTTTCCAATGATCATTTCCTATGCGCACACACACACATGCATCCACACACACACATACACACATATCCACACATCCACACACACACACGCACACACACACACACACACATACACACACACACACACTCACTCACACTCACACACACACTCACACACATACACACGCACACACACACACTCACATACACACAATCACATACACACACACTCACACACACTCTCTCACACACACAAACACATACACACACACAAAACACACTATATTATAAACCAATGATAACAAAAAAATGCCTATTGGATAGAAAAAGGAGCAAAATACATGTAAATCACCCCTACTCATATTCCCTTTGCTCCCCATGATCCATCAAAAACATCTCTAGTGCATCATCAATGGTGTGGGTTTCAGCAGCACCATGGGTTGTTGATGCTTCATGCTCGAAATTTCCTGTGTAGCCTGTCTGGCAGTTGATGGACCCTCCTGCATCTGTAGCCTGCCCCCCAACCTCCAGACCTACTCTGGTGACTCCTAAATGCTCTATAAAGGGGGCAGCATTGACATGATTCTTGAAGCTGTGACAGACTGCCCCCTGGATGCGAGATGATGGGGAGGTGAGACCCGCGGCAGCAAGTGCAGAGTGTTCCGTGTCTCTCAGGAGCGAGAAGTTGGCTGCGGGGTGAGGAAGAGGAAGGCTCAAGCCTGACATGACATGCTGCTGGGAAGAACACAGCTGGTCACCACTCGGCTGGTCACCACTCGGCTGGTCGGCACTAGGCTGGACAGTAGCACCAGCATCATACGCAGGCCTGAAGCCCTCTGTTGCAGGCATCTCCTCCACTGATGTTTTGAGACGTCTCAAAGCACTTCTTCAATCAAGTGGCTCTTGCATTACGAAATCTCCTCCACTGATGCCAGCACCGCCAGTCTCGTAGCCGTTGATTCCCTTAGAGGCATCCTGCTCCAAGCCATCAACACCGCACGTCTCTGTGTTGCTGTATCCATGCAAAGTGGTGGGTGGAGAGGCGGGGGGAAGAAGGACATAATGCGAGTGCAAGACTGATGCGCCAGCACCAGCTCTGGCAACAGCGGCAGAGGCAACACCACCACCACCAGTGGCTGCAGCAGTGCCAAAAGTTGCCCCAGAAGCAACGCCACCAGCAGTTTTGGCAGTAGAGGTCAGAGCAGAGGAGGTGAGAGCAGCAGGTGTTATGGGGGGAGTGGACTGACTGAGAAAGGGCAGATGGTGCTGGAAGCGAGTGAGCTGCTCCTGGTGCTGCTGCAGCAGTTCCAGCTCCTCTTGCTGGTGCACCAACTGCAATTGGTGCTGCTGAATTGAACGCCACTGCTGCTGCATTGACTGCTGCTGCTGCTGGTGCGGCTGCTGCATCTGCTGTTGCTGATGCTGATGTTGCTGATGCTGCTGTTGCGGCATCTGTCTCTCATCCATCAACGACCTCTGCTGCCCCTCCAGCCGTCCATGCTGCAGCACCCCTTGAAAGTAGCTCCTGGCGGGTAACCAAGGATGCTTCTCCAGTCGTTTGTGCAGCTCTCGAGCATACCTGCTGACCGGTGTTATTGGCCGAAGTGTTGACGTACGCAGCAGTTGCATGTCCAGCTGTCCAGCTCCCATTGTTCCCTGCTCATGGGACTGGGATCGCCTCACCCTGCGCAGAGGGATGGTAGAAATTGGTTTGGGAGTGCAGGCTAGGGAGGATGCCAGCCCAGACACGCCAGGCACAGCAGCAATACCAAAAACATCAGCAACACCAGCAGCGCCAGAAACACCAACATCAGGTGCAACGTCAGCAGCGCCACCACCAACACCGGCAGCACCAGAAACACCAACATCACCAGTCACACCAACAACAGGTGCAACGCCTGCAGCGCCACCAGCAACACTGGCAGCGCCACCAGCAACACCAGCCGCCTTCCCAGTAATATCCACACCATTCCCACTACCCACATGGGCAGCTGCAGCAGCTACACCATCCATAGGGCCAGCAACACCCATACCACCAGCAGCTCCAACACCACTTGCACCACTCACACCACTTGCACCACTCACACCACTCACACCACCTATGTTGCCCACATCACTCACACCACTCACACCACTCACACCACTCACACCACCTATGTTGCCCACATCACTCACACCACTCACACCACTCACACCACTCACACCACCTATGTTGCCCACATCACTCACACCACTCACACCACCTATGTTGCCCACATCACTCACACACCACTCACACCACTCACACCACTTGCACCACTCACACCACTCACACCACTCACACCACTCACACCACCTATGTTGCCCACATCACTCACACCACTCACACCACCTATGTTGCCCACATCACTCACACCACTCACACCACCTATGTTGCCCACATCACTCACACCACTCACACCACTCACACCACTCACACCACCTATGTTGCCCACATCACTCACACCACTCACACCACTCACACCATTCACACCACCTGCGTTTCCCACACAGGGCTGGGACTCTGGATTTGAAGAACTGACGACCGGTGGCTCCAGCGGAAAATATAAAGTTTGCCTACGGAGCATCAGAGGTACAGGTCCGGAGGGAGGTTCGGGATTATGCTTGGGTTGAGGCTCGGTCCAAGGGCTGTAAGGATGAAATTATATGTTGTCTCTTTCCGAGTCTAGGGAGTGGCTTCCAAACATCTGCTGCTCCCTCCACTCTTCCACGGATAGTGGTTCATGTACGAGGTCGGTCGAAGCACACCGTGCAGCTGCCTTTCCCCTCCTGCCAGTGCTGAGAATGAGAGAGTTGCGTCTTGGGAAGCTCGATGCGTGCTGCTGCTGCTGCTGCTGCTGCTGCTGCTGCTGCTGCTGCTGCTGCTGCTGCTGTTGCTGCTGCTGCTGCTGCTGCTGCTGCTGCTGCTGCTGCTGCTGCTGCTGCTGCTGCTGCTGCTGCTGTTGGCTCTCGCGATGCTGTCGCACGTGCGGAATCACAACAACTGATGATCTGCGGGTCATGGTAAAAGCACACCACGCGCTGGGATCACGCCCTTGAAACGGCCCAAAAGGAGACATCGTGGCATGTGCATACTGCATCGCCTCAGCATGCCAGCTTGAAGGCATGCTTGAAGGCATGCTTGAAGCTGATCCTGCCATTCTGGGTACCTCCATCTCCTCTTTTGCTTCTTGCAGGGAACCATCCTCACCAGGAGTCATAAATCCCCCTGACACTTCAACACTGAAACCCCATGAAACGGCTTGTGCCTCGCTTGGGACAGGCAGCCCTGCTGTTTGCGGCCTAGCCAACGCTTGCTGCTCTGCCAATGCCTCCTCCCCTGTCACTGCGTGCTGCCCTGCTGCCAGTGCTGAGGTTTCTACTGTATCATGAATTTGCTCCACGCCTAGATGGCCGGATGGACCTGCTACTGCCACACCCACCGCCACACCTGCCCCTCGGACCACTTGACCCTGCTCGCCCCGTTGACCCCGTTGACCTGGCTGATGACATTGGGAGGATGATGGATCCGATGTTACCACCTGGTGGCTTGGCTGCATTGCCATCATGTAGCTAAACCGACCGTTTTCACCCTCAGAAGTAGTGCAGCCTACTTCCCGCCCCTCCATCCCTGCTTGAGATGGCACCGCCTGTTGGCTTGGCTGCATTGCCGTCATGTGACTACCACGGCCGTTTTCACCCTCAGAAATAGTCCAGACTCCTAGCTGCCTCTCCATCCCTTCAGTTTCCGGGTTTTGCTTTCCATGGTTCAAAGGACTGCTCTCGCGGGGCAAATGCTTGGTGCTAGGCAGCTGGAAGTGCTTATTAGATGCCCCCACTCCAGTCACCATTGATACCTTATCGTTACGAGAAACATGACCTGCCGAGCGCTCGTCTATTCCCATCCTCGTCTCCATCGTACCCTTCTCCATCGCCCCGCCCTCCTCCATCGCCCGTTCCCCGTCTGAAGTCTCTCTACTTCCACTGCTTTCTTCCTCTGAAGGCATCTCCCGTTCTTCCACCGACTCCTTGCCTTTTGCAACACCAACCCCACTCCCTCCAGCCCCATCGGTTTCATCAATTGCCCCGAGCTGCTGTGCAAACTGCTCTGCAAGTAAAGAGCTCCACTCCCCCTCACCGTCTGCCAAACCCTCAAATCCCATCCCCTCACCATCTGCTCCCAGTGCGTCCAATCCCAACATCCCCAGTCCAGTTATCAGCGTGTAGTGAGTCGATTTTTGAGTCGACTCAAAAATCGAGTCCAGTTATCATCACACTAGGCATCTCCTCCGGTGGGACTGAGTGGCAATTCAGTGTGGGACCAGTAAACATTGGGTTGCATTCTGAGGTGTGAGTGGGGAGAGTGGCATGAATATGAACGCCGCTGGTGAGTGCAGCTTCAGGGATTGCAATACCAACAAAGGTGGATGGGAGGGCAGAGACAATGGCGGAGAAAGTAGAGGCGGAATTAACAGAGATGGAAGGGGCGGAGGAGGAGGAAGGGGCGGCTAAGCTCAAGCTACTACCGCTTACAGTGGAGCTTCCTTCAGGAATGTATACTCCTGCTTTGCTCCCGCTATCACTCCCTGCTGACGTTTCTGCTGCTAGTAATACTTCTCCTCCTCCTCCTCCTCCTCCTCCTCCTACTCCTCCTACTCCTCCTCCTCCACCTCCTCCTCCTCCTCCTCCTCCTCCTCCTCCTCCTCCTCCTCCTGTTCTTCCACTCACTCCTCCTCCCCTCCCACGTCCTCTTCCTCTTCCCCTTCCTCTTCCTCTTCCTGCTTCTCCTCCTCCGCCTTCCCCTCCTAGCTGTACAGATGAATATCGCCCCATAGCCTCTGATCCTGCACCTGCGTCGACTGTGGATTCCGTTCCAGCCCTACTTGTTCCCTCTCCAAACGGCCTCCAAGGCACCGCAAAGCTCGCTGCTACTTCCCCATTTGATCCCTCTCCGAACGGCCAGTCAGGCACCGCAAAGGCCGCTTCTAGTTCCCCACATATTCCCTCTCTCTGCATCGTCTGGCCCACACCTTCTCCCACCAATCCCCTTGCTGCAGTACCGTCACCATATCCCACCTCCTTCCCTTTCCCTTCACAGCTCCTAGTACTTCTGTCCTCCCTAACCTGCGTTACCACTCCCATGCCAATCTCTCCACCATCCTGCCCTTTTCGAAGATACCGACCTGGGAAGTTAAGCTTCGCCTTTGCTCCTCTAATTTTCAGAGCAGCTTCATCAAACGCCCTAGCAGCGTCCTCTGCAGAACGGAACGTGCCCAGCCACCTGCGGACCCCGCTATTGGTGTCTTTAATCTCTGCAATGTAACGAAACTCCCCTCGCTTCCTCACTCCCCGGTACCGCCCTGGCTGGTTGTAGTTGCGGCTGCGGGCCATTCTGCTGCGCCTGCTTCCACGCGTTAAAGGCTCTAATGGCCCTGTTGGCTCTGCATCAGTGGCAGCCTCACCTTGTTCTAGTGCTTGCGACGAGTGCGGCTGTAGCAGCGGCTGTAGCTGAGAGGAGAGCTGCTGGATCCGGTGTGGTGGTAGCTGCTCTGGCTGAACCTGTAGCTCTGGCTGTGACTGTAGCTGTGGCTGTGGCTGTGGTTGTGGTTGTAGTGACATCTGCTGCTGTGCCGTCTGCTGCTGTGCCGTCTGCTGCTGTGACATCTGTTGCTGTGGCGTCTGTTGCTGTGGCATCTGTTGCTGCTGTTGAACCTGCTGCTGTGATCTCTGCTGCAGCAACATCAGTTGCTGTGACATCTGCTGCGGTGACATCTGCTGCTGTGACATCTGCTGCTGTGCCGTCTGCTGCTGTGACATCTGCTGCTGTGACATCTGTTGCGGTGGCATCTGTTGCTGTGGCGTCTGTTGCTGTGGCATCTGTTGCTGTGGCATCTGTTGCTGCTGTTGAACCTGCTGCTGTGATCTCTGCTGCAGCAACATCAGTTGCTGTGACATCTGCTGCGGTGACATCTGCTGCTGTGACATCTGCTGCTGTCACATCTGCTGCTGTGACATCTGCTGCTGTGACATCTGCTGCTGTGACATCTGCTGCTGTGACATCTGCTGCTGTGACATCTGCTCCGGTTACATGTCAGCAGTGCTGTTGCTGCATCTACAACTGTTGCATCTGCCAGGTGTCCGGCGGGTTATCCCACCTAATTTCAGAAGCTCTCCCGGAAAACGGAGTTCCGATGCGGCTCCTAGTACTACTAGTGAGTCAGAACTGAAGGTCTTCCCCCATTCCAAGAAGAGAGAGACTGGATTTATCACGCTGCTGGTCTAATTTCGTGGCAGAAACTGGGAGGGATGAATTTGTTAAATCCCCAGTATTTCGCCGGGCTGTTGCCACCACGGGGAGCACTCGCAGTCACGGTGTGCCCTGTTGCTCGAGCCGGATGCCGTAATGACCATGAGTCGCCTACTACTAGTAGTAGTGTTAACAGAACTCGGACCTTTGTGCAACTGGCTGCTGGACAATCTAGAAATATTGAATGGGTTGCCACTGCACAATTTCAACTTAATCTGTTGATCAACCCAAGATGAGCTGGTTTTGTGCTTCTGGTTTACACTGGCTTGATGCCGACAGTGGACAAGCGCAAGTGGTCAGCCAATCCCGTCGGTTGAATCCTGTTCTTTACCTTCCCCTTCACGGGCACTCATCAGGGTTTCAGATGTACAGTGGCTAGACTCTCCCACCGGTTCGAAACTGTACAGTTCTTTGCCTTCCCGTCCCAGGCACGGTTCAGAGTTTCGATATGTAATTGGGATTTTTAGAATTTCAGTGATGCCATCCGTGCATAATACACTACGGTTCTGTGCACGTACCTTCTCCCACCCACACGTTTTCTTTCTCCCGATCTGCAAGTGTGTGACCTATTTTCATTGGATGATGATGTGATTCTGGCGAAGAGGACATTGAATGCTCATCTTGCTTCACCTGCCCTCATCCCCGTGTACGGCTGACTTGTCTTGGCAACTAGCGTCGTAAAAACGGTTAAAGCCGCGGTGCAACTATCTTAGGAACAGTGTCAAACCGGGTTTTGTCTTGTTCCGTACTGGTAGTCAATTGGCTAGCGAGAGTGTAAGTCGTGTTGCGATGAAAACATCTAAGGTGAATGTCGCGAACCTCGAAAGGAAAAGTGGGGGGGAAGGGGTTGGGGGGAAGGAAAGGGGGGAACACACACGAAACGGGAAATGGGACCACATCAACACCCCCATACTCCCTTTCGCTGATTGTTCTGCCAATAACACCTCCACATTGCAAAACGAGAAACCTTATGTTCCAAAAAAGCTGCGCAAAATACCAATTTCACTTTCAAGTTTTATTTTGGTTTATTTATCCATCCATTTGCAAGAGTAATATTTCTAATGGGGAGAAAGAACATCAACTGTACAGATGTGCAAGACTTGGAATGTCATATTGAAATTCTTATTATGCTAAGGATAAAAGCAAACATGGCATCATCCAAGGAGAGCAGATTTTTACACTCCGATCCACTATTGGTGCAGCTGTCCATTTGCAGGGAGGAGGGGGGAGGGGAAAGGGGGGAGGGGGGGGGGGGAGGTGGGGAAGGGAAGGAAACGTTGCACATTATTGAAGAATGTTAGGTAGGGAAATTGAAGAGAGCATGGAAACTGAGATATGATAGACAGCCTTCAGTGGCCAAGCAAAGCTGGTACTGTCGGCTGGGCTGGACGAGAGAACGTAGTGGAAAGGGAAGGGACGGTAGTGGGGGAAAGCGAGGGACAGGGGAGGGGGGAAAGGGATGGCTGAGAGAAGCGTGAATGGTGGGAGAGGACAGTAGGAAAGGAAGGGATGTGAGAGAGGGGGAGGAAGGGTGGGAGGGAGAGAGGACAGGGGGAAAGGGAGAGAACGACAGGGGGAAAGGGAGAGGCGGACAGGGAGAAATGGAGAGGAGGACAGGGGGAAAGGGAGAGGAGGACAGGGGGAAAGGGAGAGGAGGACAGGGGGAAATAGAGAGGAGGACAGGGGGAAAGGTAGAGGACAGGGGGAAAGGGAGAGAAGGACAGGGGGAAAGGGAGAGGAGGACAGGGGGAAAGGGAGAGGAGGACAGGGGGAAAGGGAGAGGAGGACAGGGGGAAAGGGAGAGGAGGACAGAGGGAAATGGAGAGGAGGACAGGGGGAAAGGGAGAGGACAGGGGGAAAGGGAGAGGAGGACAGGGGGAAATGGAGAGGAGGACAGGGGGAAAAGGAGAGAAGGACAGGGGGAAAGGGAGAGGAGGACAGGGGGAAAGGGAGAGAAGGACAGGGGGAAAGGGAGAGGAGGACAGGGGGAAAGGGAGAGAAGGACAGGGGGAAATGGAGAGGAGGACAGGGGGAAATGGAGAGGACAGGGGGAAAGGGAGAGAAGGACAGGGGGAAAGGGAGAGGAGGACAGGGGGAAAGGGAGAGGAGGACAGGGGGAAAGGGAGAGGAGGACAGGGGGAAAGGGAGAGGAGGACAGGGGGAAAGGGAGAGGAGGACAGGGGGAAAGGGAGAGAAGGACAGGGGGAAATAGAGAGGAGGACAGGGGGAAAGGGAGAGGAGGACAGGGGGAAAGGGAGAGGAGGACAGGGGGAAAGGGAGAGGCGGACAGGGGGAAAGGGAGAGGAAAACAGGGAGGGCACTGGCCAAGCGAAGTTGATGCTGAGGATCGGGCAAGGGATCGGAAAGGGGGAGGCATTGGAAAGGGGGAAATTGGATGGGACGGGAGGTGACAGGGTGGGACGCGAGATGCTTCGCCACCGTCGCACAGATGCTTCGCTCCGCTGCTCGCTATCGTCGCCCTGGTGCTCGCTATCGTCGCCTTGGTGCTCGCTATCGTCGCCCTGGTGCTCGCTATCGTCGCCCTGCTGCTCGCTATTGTCGCCCTGGTGCTCGCTATCGTCGCCCTGGTGCTCGCTATCGTCGCCCTGGTGCTCGCTATCGTCACCCCGCTGCTCGCTATCGTCGCCCCGCTGCTCGCTATCGTCGCCCCACCGCTCGCTATCGTCGCCCCGCTGCTCATATGCGACCACCGATATCTAGCTATCGTCGCCCCGCTGCTCGCCACCGTCGCACCCATTCCTGCCTGTCGCTGCCGTTGCGCCTTTGCTACCGCAGATACGTGAGGAATGGAGGGGCGGGAGAGGAATAAGGACGGCAACGGAGGAAAACGAGCGCAATGCGCTTCGAATACGACAAAAAAGGTGTTTACGAGGTAGGAAATTGCGCAGATATTCGTGAGCACATCAATAGACCATGAAACGCGAGAAATCTTAGCGGAAATGGCTCTGCGTAGCTCGGGAAACTTACTTCAAGTTAGTAAGAACCTAGTTCAAGCGTGAGAGTTTGCCGAGTTTGAGTTGTTTTGAGTTCAAGTTTGAATTTTCAAGTTTGCTGCCTGCGCTCCCCCTCATCTCGTTGAGCGGAGCTTTTCCCCGAGCCCTCCCCCGTTTCCCCCCCCACACATCATACTGCGAAGGACTTTTCCGCACGCCCTTCCCCCGCTGGCAGAAACCTCTCCCTGCTCGCTTTCCTGTGTATACTGGGTTACGCGGCTTTCAAACTATAATAGTTTGAACTGGAGCCGGGATATCTGCACCACGGCTTTAATCCCACATCACGACTCACACAGCAGTACTTGTACTGTACTGTAATGCTCGATCCCCCCAGTCTCCATTCTCCAGGGTTTCAAACAAGCTCTGTTCACGTGTTTTGAGCATATCACGCAAGCAAGGCCCAACGCGCGAAACACGCAAAGGCCAAACCAAGGGCCAACGCGCGAAACACGCAAAGCTAAGCCAATCAGAAATATCCTTGCCTCCACACATACCACGTGTGAAGAATCAGGCTTGGGTTTTCAGCTTTGCAAGGACTGTTACCGTAGCTTGTCTTCTTTTGAGGGACCTTCATCGCTTTCTACGATATTACAATACCATTACAATATGCTGCATATTATGGTTGTGCTGGCAATACAATATTATGGACCACGGTTATGCTGGGCTTAAAGTAATAGCAGAGAATATATTTATGGCATTTGATATACATGGTTTTATATGGACCGGACATATGATAAAACTAATGGTAGTATATGCGCGCTCATATTGGTTGTTGGGCGACCCTTTGTCGCCTAAATATTGTGAGAATCTAGCGTGACTTAGGAGCCATAGCTAGGTTAGAGTGTCGAGAGAGTTGAGTGTCGAGAGGAATGATGTTGTTTCACTATAGAAAGTTGGGATACAAATAGCAAACCCTAAATTGGGTTGTACTCACTACAGGGTACCCCACTGCAGGCTAGACAGCAAATACATTTTGACACACCCCCATAGTCAAAGTGGGGTATAATCAGCAGAGCAAGCAGTCATAGAGTAGGTTCACCAGTACAAGCAAAGCTAGAGGCATTCACAAAGGGCAAGTGAGGAGGAGGAGGCTGGACTGTGAGAGGAGAGGAGATAGGAGGCGACGGCTGATGCTGCAGACACACGGGCAACAGGAGCGGCGCGCACGGTGGCTACCGGAGCAAGGGCCCCGGACTACAGGAGTAACTGGCTCTGCGGCTAACTCTGAGCGGCAGGAGCAACGGACCCACGGGCGACAGGCGCAGCAGGCTCTCTGAGCTACCAGAAGCAGAGCCCCGGACTACAGGTGCTGCGGACGACAAGACGGCAGCCTCCGCTCAACCTCCCCCAACTGTCCCACCCCCCTTTCATACACCCCTTGCTGCACCCCTAGCTCCACTCCCACGTCACCCCCCTAGCACCACTCCCTCCTCACCCCCCTAGCACCACTCCCTCGGCTCCCACACACCCACCCCCCTCAGCGGCAGCTGCAGCAGTGGGAGACGGAGGAGGAGGAGGAGCAGGGGACGGTTTACACACCCGCCACCCCCATACCCTCCCCCACTGCTGCACCTGCAGCAGGGGATGGAGGAGAAGGGGGGGGGGGCTGGTGCTGCAGATCCCCTCCCCCCCACTGCTGCACCCGCAGCAGGGGAAGGTAGGAGAAGGGGGGGGGGGGGGGGGGCTGGTGCTGCAGATCCCCTCCCCCCCACTGCTGCACCCGCAGCAGGGGAAGGTAGGAGAAGGGGGGGGGGGGGGGGGGGGCTGGTGCTGCAGATCCCCTCCTGCCTCCCCTTGAACTTCCAAGCTCCCCCCCTCTCCCAACACATGGTGCGGCAGGGAGAGAGAGAGGAGGAGGCGCGGCGGCAGCTGCTGCTGCTGAGGCACATCCGCCACCCCCTCACACCCTCTCCCCCCCGTCCCCATGGAGGGGGGGGAGGGGGGGGAGGGGGGCGGGGGCGGAGCTGCGCGTGCGATTGCAGGGCACGCGGGCAGGAAGAACCCCCTCTTGCCACCCCCTTACCCTTCATGATGGTACAGGGCGACGGGTTGAGAGGGGCCGAGGCTAGAGGCGACGGGGCCGCAGTTAGGGGCTGCAGGTCGCGAGGGGCCATAATTAGGGGCGATGAGGCCAGTTGGGCCGAGGGGCGCAGCTAGGTACGGGGCCGGGCGCTGGGCTAGGGACGGGGCCGGGAGCTGGGCAGGTACGGGGCTGGGTGCTGGGCAGGTACGGGGCCGGGCGCTGGGCAGGTACGGGGCCGGGCACTGGGCAGGTACGGGGCTGGGCGCTGGGCAGGTACGGGGCCGGGCGCTGGGCAGGTACGGGGCTGGGCACTGGGCAGGTACGGGGCCAGGCGCTGGGCAGGTACTGGGCCAGGCGCTGGGCAGGTACGGGGCCGGGCGCTGGGCAGGTACGGGGCCGGGCGCTGGGCAGGTACGGGGCCGGGAGCTGGGCAGGTACGGGGCCGGGCGCTGGGCAGGTACGGGGCCGGGCGCTGGGCAGGTACAGGGCCGGGCGCTGGGCAGGTACAGGGCCGGGCGCTGGGCAGGTACGGGGCTGGGCGCTGGGCAGGTACGGGGCCGGGCGCTGGGCAGGTACGGGGCCGGGCGCTGGGCAGGTATGGGGCCAGGCGCTGGGCAGGTACGGGGCCGGGCGCTGGGAAGGTACGGGGCCGGGCGCTGGGCAGGTACGGGGCCGGGCGCTGGGCAGGTACAGGGCCGGGAGCTGGGCAGGTACGGGGCCGGGCGCTGGGCAGGTACGGGGCCGGGCGCTGGGCAGGTACGGGGCCGGGCGCTGAGCAGGTACGGGGCCGGGCGCTGGGCGCGGAATGGGGCCGGGCGCGGGGCTAGGTACGGGGCCAGGCGCGGGCTAGGTACTGGGCCGGGCGCGGGCTAGGTACGGGGCCGGGCGCGGGCTAGGTACTGGGCCGAGCGCGGGCAAGAGACGGGGCCGGGCGCTGGGCGAAGGACGGGGCCAGGCACGGGCTTGGTACAGGCCGGGCGCGGGCTAGGTACGGGGCCAGGCGCGGGCGAGGTACGGGCCGGGCGCGGGCTAGGTACGGGGCCGGGCGTTGGGCGCGGAACAGAGGCCGGGCGCGAGGCTAGGTACGGGCCGATTGCGGGCGAGGTACGGGGCCAGGTGCGGGCGAGGTACGGGCCGGGCGCGGTGCTAGGAACGGGGCCGAGCGCGGGCTAGGTACAGGCCGATTGCGGGCTAAGTACGGGCCGGTCGCGGGCTAGGTATGGGGCCAGGCGCGGACGAGGTACGGGCCGGGCGCGGGGCTAGGAACGGGGCTGAGCGCGGGCTAGGTACGGGCCGATCACGGGCTAAGTACGGAGCTAGGTGCCGGCGAGGTACGGGCCGGGCGCGGGGCTAGGAACGAGGCCGAGCGCGGGCTAGGTACGGGCCGATTGCGGGCTAAGTACGGGCCGGTCGCGGGCTAGGTACGGGGCCAGGCGCGGGCGAGGTACGGGCCGGGCGCGGGGCTAGGAACGGGGCCGAGCGCGGGCTAGGTACGGGCCGATCGCGGGCTAAGTACGGGGCCAGGTGCGAGCGAGGTACGGGCCGGGCGCGGGGCTAGGAACGGGGCCGAGCGCGGGCTAGGTACGGGCCGATCGCGGCCTAAGTACGGGCCAGGCGCGGGGCGACGGAGTCGACGGGGCCAGCGGGGCCGAGGGGCACAGCTAGGGGCGACGCCAAGGGGCGATGAGGCCAAGGGGCCGAGGCGACGGGGCCAAGGGGCCGAGCCTAGGGGCTAGGGGCGACGCCAAGGGGCGACGGGCCGGGGCCTAGGCTAGCAGGGCAGTAGGTGGTGGGCCCATTAAGATTAGGTCCTAGGAAATTGTTGCTCTTAATACCATGTGAGAATCTAGCGTGACTTAGGAGCCATAGCTAGGTTAGAGTGTTGAGAGAGTTGAGTGTCGAGAGGAATGATGTTGTTTCACTATAGAAAGTTGGGATACAAATAGCAAACCCTAAATCGGGTTGTACTCACTACAGAGTACCCCACTGCAGGCTAGACAGCAAATACATTCTGACAAATATATGGTCGTGAACTATATGACAGTGCGTGATTGGAGGCGCATTGCCAAAAAGGGCAACAAGCATATTATCGACCAATCGTGCGCGGTCACTAATAGGTTCGTGCATTTATGCTCTGGCGTTGCAGTTTATGATTGCTGATGTATTTTCCCACGCGCTCATTGGTCGCGCATTGGGCCGAAAATGACCGCGCATCTACTGTTGTGCGAACGAGGGATTTCGGGGGTACGAACCCTTGTAGGGTAATGCGCTAGGGAAAAAAAACACCTCGAAAATGCCCTGGCATGGCCACTCGAGCAATAATCACTGAATTGGATGGCCACGCGAGCGATTCGGGGACACGTGGGCAAGAGCGATGTTGGAAACAATAACTTAACGCTTCTGAAGTAATCAAAGCATCGACACGAAACGGAGCAGACTACAAGCGAAGCAACACGCGAGTCAACAAAGCAACCGCTGGAGGTTACGCGAAGGTTAAAGGTCGCTGACTCGACAGCAAGGACACATAACTGACTCGATACTGAGCAGTTACCCGAGTCGTCATTGTATCGAACCGCAACAGCAGAAACAGTTAAAATAGAACTTTCCATATTCCTTTGTAATCATATAAAAGCTTTGTATTCCCCTGCTATTATTAATTTATCTTGTTCTCACATACTAGTACAAGGTGGTTCAACAACTTTGATATTACGCTTCCGCAAATACAACAACTCTACTTCAACTGATCTTAGCCTTGAAAGATCCTAGGGCTATTTCACAGCCCAACATGGTATGAGAGCAAGCAGGGCAAGATCGATTTCTCGAATATCTACAACAACGCAAGGCATGGCAACACAGAAGGAGAGGAGCTCCTCTAACGGATCTCCCGGCACTACTCCTACTCCACCTCCAGCCTCTGGCCTACAGACAGAAGAAGGCATAGCAACAAGACCAACTGCGGAGTCAACCGAAACTCCCGGGAATCAAGCACCAGGCTTCGACCCAAGCATGATGGAGAAGTTCTTCTCCTTCATGTCCTTCTACGAGCAACACCAGCAAGCCGCTCCTACACAATCAAACAACAGCGACAACAACAACAGGGCTACCCCAATGAGCCTTGACGGTTCATCATATGCGCGCGGAAATCAACAGCAACCCACCTTTGCTCTGTACGAACCTCAACGTGGCTCCATCAGCTTCGCGCCACACCCACAGTCTTCACCTAGACAAGAGAAGACATTGGACGCACTTCAAGTTCAATCACAATTCGCACATGTGTTAAAACTACAGACATCAACACCTTTCGACGGAAAGGACTTCTATACCTGGTCATTCGATTTCGAGCTGATGATGGAAGGCGCGCAAATACTTGGATTCTTCGACGGGTCCCTGCCATATCCAACGCATGGGACACAATATAACAAGCAACAGCATACATATCAGTCACTGATGGCGTACACGATACTTCTTCGAAACTTAACGCCAAACGAGCAGCAGAACATTCGGTCTTATCGAGGATACGACAATTCCGCCGAGCTAGCGTACGACCACCTGAAGAATCTATATCAAGCAACAGACAGCATTAACCAGAGTCGTCTCATGGCACAGCTGACAACAGTGGAAATGAAACCCGGCGAAAAAGGAATGGTGTATATCAGACGTTGTCGTGGATTGCGTGACAGACTCCTTCGATACGGAAGATCAATATCCGAAGAAGTCTTCGTAACAGTCATCATCGCTGGCCTCGGTCCTCATTGGCGCTCCACTCGAGCACTTCTTCGAGCTCACGGGAAAATTTACGAAGCAGCACTCTGCGCCGAAATTCACGCTGAACAACAGGATATGGACCTGCACGAAGAACGACACAAGAAGAAGGCGTCAGTACCAGAATTCGCGTTTCACACTCAACGACGCTACAACAACAGCAACAGTCGACAAAACAACCGTCATGTTCAACAATACGTCCCACCATTCTGTCACCTCTGCAAGACGTCTGGACATCCTCGCACACACTGCCCGAATCAGCAGCAGTCGACATCGCCGCAACGTCAACTTCGGCCCTCAAGCAGTCAAGTAGCTTCTACGCAGGCGCATCCCACCAATCAAGTGCAGTCTTCAACGTCTTCAACGACACAACCTGCACAAGGAACAAGAAACATCGTGAGCTGCATGACAAGAACGACAGACTCCTGCATCACCGGATCACCACCCCACTACTCACCAGAAGAACAGCTTGACTAGCGCACTCCTCGCCGCGAATCTCTTGAACCCAACCCGACGTATGCAGCCATCGCCCAGAGCGAGCCGTCCGGAAAAGACACTTGGTTCTTGGACAGTTGCTGCGGACAGCACATGTGCTCCTCAGGTCGCTTCGTTCAACAGGAACATCAACTTCAACGCGAAGTTGTAATCACCGTCGCCAACAACCAGAACCTGCACACACGACGACAAGGAATAGTGCAACTTCAGTCTCGAGAAACTAACGTCATTTTACAAATGTCAAAAGTTTTGATTGCAGAAGGACTCGACTACAACTTACTCAGCGTCAGTCAATTGATGGCGAAGGGCATTCTTCTCGAAGCAGACAGCACCACTCAGGAGTTCAAGCTATTCCACGGAAAGGGCAGACTTTACATCGGCAAGGCAGTCTTGAAGAATAACGTCTTCGTTCTTGATTTCGTTCCGGACCAAGGTACCGCCGACAGCGACGCCATCGTCAACTTTGCTTCTTGGACACATCCACCCGACCTTGATCCCGACTTCAGTCCTGGAGGATTTTGGTATTCAAATACCATACCTGAAGCAGAAAGGACACGGGCATTAGCAACAATCCGGCAAGAAGAAACAACATCGACAGCAGCAGAGACAAAATCGGCAACAGCAGCAACACCTACAGCACCAATCGCGGGCTCTTCGACGGCACCAGTTTTCATCGACGACACTCCACCGACTCATGCGCAGCAGTTAAATCCCACTCCACGCGAAGTTCACAGAAGCGCCAACCTCACCGCGGGATTTTACTCCAACTCCGACCTGTACAAGCGCTCACCCGGACATCGTGCGAGCGAATCACTGTGGCACGAAAGACTGGGACATCCAAGCAACACAACGTTAAATAACACGATCGAGGCAGCAGTACTCGACAAAGATTCTTTACTCCTACCCGATGGCAGAGAACTTCAACGAGTCCAAGGAACCTGTTTTACTTGCCCCGAAGCCGACTTACCTCATCAACCGTTCGTCTCTCACCACAATCCAAGCGCGCCAGCCTACGCACCACTCGAAAAAGTATACAGCGACATCCTGTATACTCGCGAACAAGGTCAAGAAGCATACAACTATGTGCTTACTTTCATCGACGCCGCCACCCGATACGTCTGGCACCTCAACCTCCCAAGTCGTGACATGGCCTTCAAAGCCTTCATCGCCTGGCTACCTGTAGCAGAACGAGAATTAGGAGCAAAGCTGAAAAACTTCCAGTCAGACAGGGGAGGGGAATATCAGTCACGAAGGTTCAGGCAGTACCTCGCAGAACGAGGAATCAAGCGACTCATCTCGCTTCCCTACGCCCATCAACAGCAAGGCATGGCAGAACGTATGAATAGAACTCTCCAGAACACCATGCGCAAACTGTTGCGTGGCATGTGACTGCCCAACCACCAGTGGCCTGAGGCGATGGACCACGCTGTCATGCTGCACAACTTGCTTTCATCATCATCACTCCCGAACAACGCATCACCGCACCTGCTGTGGACAGGAAAACTGGGCAACACAAAAATGTTACGAGTTTTCGGGTGCATGGTACGGTACCGACCGCACACTGCGAGAGCCGGAAAATTTTCCCAACGCGCACAGTGGGGGCTACACCTGGGCATCGAAAAGCATTACAACGCATGGAAGATGTTTGACGTCCACTCGAAAGAAACAGTAGCAGCACGTGATGTCATTTTCTACGAGTGACTCACACTTCAAACGTACGTGGACAACATG